TTTTGTATTCTTATAATTCTATTATTGTTTAACTAATTTTGATTATTTCTTTAGGATTTTATTAATCGTGGTAAGGAGGCCATGAGAGAACCTGTTATTGATGATGCTATATCACAGAAGCTGAGGATGATCCCATATCTAGGCTTCTAACCATATTATCACGATTGAAGAAGAAACCAATTCAATTACAGTAGGACATTAGAGTTTTTGGAGTTGATAGCTCTAATGTTCCACTATACATATCCCTGCTCGATGCATTAGAGATTGTTAGAGGAAATTCCATGTTAAATATATCTATCATACAATTATGGGCCATGTAAGTGATATTTTCTTTTATGAGTCTAAAATTACAATAATTACATTTAACTTATAATAATTAATTGTGTTAGGTACATGGAGAAATTGAGTGCGGAGCAAGCACAAGCACAAGTATATGAATTTATTGAGCCTCAATTCATCAAAAAATCAGGAAACACTCAGGTCCAGATCCAGCAATATATGCAAACATGGATAAGTGAATCAGGAAGACATATATACATGGCTTCATACAATGAATGGTTAGTTTTTTAATTAGTTTCTTAATCATGGTAATTTTATAACTAATGTGTTTGTCATACAATGTAGGTCCCATTGGTAGTTAATTTTAATCATTCCTAAGGAATACACGTGGTGTGGTTTTGTTCACTACATCGAAAACCAAGCCACGAAATGAAATGCCAATTACAAGGGTAACTATAATTTTTCATTATGTTCTAAAACTGTAAATATATATATTGGCTAACATCTGTTTTTATTTCAATTAATTAGAATCGTGTCTGGAACTAATATTTTAAGTGGAAGAGCCAGATCAAAGACATTACACTTCATATTCCCTAAGGTTAGCAAATTATTTAATAGAGGCAATAATATTTGAATTTATCGACTTTGGAAATAATAGTTATTTGTTTCTCATTTTAGTGTAATAAGCAACAAGACTCGTTTGAATGTGACTATTACATCATATATTGGATGAGAGCCATAATTTCTGCGGGTATTACTGATTCTTGGGGGCAGGTAATTCATATCAAAATTTATTTAAGTATATTTACTTTTGTGATAATTAACATTGCATATTAATGACACTTAAATTAATATTTCAGGTCTTTCAAGATCCATCTCCATTGCCCGAAGATGAAATCATCAAGATAAGAGAACAATGGGCAACTTTTTTTCTTCAAAGTATATAATAGTTAGATTTCTAAGTTTAGTTAGTTGGATATTATGTTTCTAGTTTGATAGCATTGACAAACATATGTTCTATAGCTTTTTTAGGATAATAGGATTTACATTGTCTTAATTTATGCTTTTTAAGATTTATATATTATTTTCTTTTTGTGATTCAATTATGAAATATAAATTATATTTAAATTTGTATTCTAGACTGCCTGGGTTAGGTTTTGTATTTTGGACTGTATGCAGGTTTTGGGTGTATAAAAAAATAATACAAATTAAAAAAAAATGCATACATTTACGTCGGACTATACCATGTCCGACGTAAATTTACGTCGGACATGACATAGTCCGACGTAAATATTTTAGTGTTTTTTTTTTGTTTTACAACATTTTTTTACATCGGCTCTTGGGAATGTCCGAAGTAAATTTAACTCGGCTATCACAACCGACGTAAATTTACGTCTCCCGCATTAACGTCAGACCTTTTTCTAACGTAAAAAATTTAAAATAACCGACATAAATTACCCTTTTATACAAGTGTTAAGATAATTAGGTTACAGCAACTTGCAACTATAAAATTAATTAGTTTTGTTCAATATAGCAACTAATTAATTTCAACAACTTTAATTTATAGAAAGACTTAAACTCCATTTTTACTATAATAATTAGGTTATAAATTTAATTTAAGTTATAACAACCAACTTTTGATTATAAATTTAGACACGCTATAATAATTATTCTCTATGTTGCAGTAACCATAATAATAATAATAATAATAATAATAATAATAATAATAATAATAATAATAATAATAATAATAATAATAATAATAATAATAGTTTTAGTCATAACTTGAGTAATAAAATAAATGTTACAGCAATACGTATGATTTTTAAGAGTAACTATAATTTTAATATATTATCCCAGCCCTTTTTAAACATAAAATACTATAGAAAAATACAGTTATAAAAATATACAATCTGCACTTTTATAAAAACTCCATTTTCTAGCCCTTTGTAAAAGTCTTATTTTTTACTTAAGGTTTAGATTTAAAATCTTTAAAGTCATAAACCTTTTAACACATGACTAAATTAATAACTTTTAAATATAGGAGAGTTGAAATAGTCATAACTAGCGTGTTATAAAAATGTTGTTATAACACTTTACTCCAAGAGAAACCATTTTCATGAATCAAATCTTAACCTTTTTCTTTTAATACATAATGTTCTTAAAAATATCCACAATGCATGTTTACAAAACATATTAGATTAGTTGATCATGGTTTAAAATAATAGAACAACCCTTTATAACTATATCATATAGCAACCAAATTTAATAACGAGATGAATATAGAACCCATATTCATAACATTAACCCACGTGATCAACCTTATGATAACAATATGAACATATAAGTAATGAATAGTGTAACAAGATTAAAATAATAGAACAACCCTTATAACTATATTATATAGCAACCAAATTAAATAAAGAGATGAATAGAACCCATATTCATAAAATTAACCAACGTGATCAACCTTATGATAACAATATATGAACATAAAAGTAATGAATAGAGTAACAAGATTAAAATAACAAGATCAAGATATCATGCATACAAACAAGATTATTTTCGTGTAGCTTAAAGAAAAAAGAGGTGATGAAGTTGCTTCTTAGACTCTCCTTAGAACTTTCCTTCTATGAGCTCCCAAACTCACAAACTCTCCAGACTCAAGCAATTTCAAAAGCATATATAAGGTAGGAATAGTTGTGTAAGAAAGGCCTAGAATCTAGATATAGTGCGGTCGTATACTCCTATAGTCCTATTTATAGTGATGCATTTTTGTTTTGTTTTGTTAACTTATAGACTTGGATTGAGTAATGTGTGCACTTAAGGTTGATTTTGGGTGGTAATCTAGGTCCAATTGCTTAACAATTCTGACTTATTTTAATTGGGTTAGGCAGCCCATTCCCTTACTAGGTACACCTTTCTTAGTGGACCAAATTAATTGGCAGCCCATATAATACTAAGTTCAGGCCTCTCCTTTACTATGTGTAACACTTTCTAAGATTTTCTAAAGCCCAAACAATTTTCTTTATTCTTAGCATTAATCAAACAAAGTTAGAACTTAGAACATAATATATTATGAATTATTTAAATGAAATTAATGTACCTTAATATCCAATGACGTAATACATGGACTTAAATTACAATTTATTGTTTCTAAGTTTCTGAGTCACACAACCTTATTTTAAGATACTATTTCTATTCTAATTTATATCTAAACATTTTGGAACAATTTTCTTTCTTAAGAATAAGAAGAAAAAAAAACCAATAAATTCCTATAAAGTAAAAAAAAATGGTGGTTTATTATGGGAGTTTCATTTTTTCTCTATGTATCCATCCATCTCATAGTGAATTAATTTGTTGAATATTTCATATCGATTAGTGTATATTAGTAGGAAACAATGTTCATCTTATAAGAAAGTTTTATAAGGTTGAGTTAGACTTGATTGGTGTTGGCTATATCAAGTTACCCGCTATGATGTCGCTATTAAGCCATTTACAGATGTTTAATTTTGTAAACTTCACACTTGTGATGTTTAGTACTCAATATGAGGGAGTGTTGAAAATCTCACATCAACTAATGAGTTGATCATACTAGGGCATATAAGTGGAGATCAATTCTCACCGTACACCTTATTTTAAAACAAAAAAAAATATTGAATGAAAATGTTTTTAGGAACCATTCTTTAAAAATAATATTTTTTAACTAGTTTTTCTTTGACAAGGACAATTTTAGAAAAATTACTTAACTTAATTAGAAATAATTAAAAATAATATTTTGAACCCACATGCATAAATTCATTACACATGTTCAAATGTCCATTGCACTCTAAAGTGATGACTTCTCTTTTAAAATTTTGTAACATGTTATTACCTCTAATGAAACAAACAATTAATTCATAAAGATTTATAATATTAGTTAAGCTAGCTAGCTAGTTTTATTTAATAACAATAAAGTCAAACTTTATTTTAGAAATATCTATAAATAAATAATTTAAGTGGTGATTATATTCAACAACAAATGATTATAATTCAAGAAATATCTTTCCACTTAAGAATGAGACTTCAATTATTTTATTTCTTTTACACGTGACTTAAATTGTTATAACCAATGAATGTAATCACTTACATATATGAATAAGTATTTATTAATAAACTTCTCAGTAAATTAAGATGTAAAAAATAATAATTAATACATTTAAAAATAAATCTTACATCAATGAATAATTATTTATTAATAAATTTTTCAATAAATTAAGTTGTAAAAAATTAATAGTTAATACATTTTAGAAAAAAGTCTTTATTTCTTACTAAAAATTAAGAAGATTAAGAATTAAAAAGAAAACAATCAACTTAAACGAGAGACTCACGTCAAAATCAAATCGTAATCTTGCTAATACAAAAAAACTACGTCTTTCAAATTTCTAAAAAACAATTATCCCAAATTCGATAAATAAAAACAAAAACTATTTTTAGATAATAAAATAATAACAAGAAAACAAAACACTCATTCATTTTAAATATGTAAGTGTATTTAATTGTTATATACATGTTGGAGGTAGTATTATATTACCCCGATTCCAACATATAAATTAATATTTTAGTCGTCAAAATTACATCTTTTCAAGTTAAAATCATATTTGATTTGTAAGGATACATCTCAAAGTCGATAGGCCGGGAAATTGAATTAATATTCACATCCAGAGCACAAGAAAGATGAGTGAATGAAAAAAATATTAATCTTAATCATAATCATAACAATGAATATATTGAATCACTATAATTAGAGCAGCAGCCACTAACAAACAGTTAGATCTATGATAAGGCCCAACAGAGCCGAAGTTACTATGACAAATAAAGGCCAACAAGAAGCCCATAAAACATCTTTAAACATTCCAAAAAACACAACAAAAAAAGGAAGTAATAATGCTATATCCAGTCAGGAAAAAAGTATAACCAGAAACTTAGTCAAGTGTTCTGGCAAAAATAGCTTCTGACTAGGAAGCATTTTCACAACAAAAATATGCTTAAAAATACATATAACTGTAGCTGCTCTCAGATTTGAGGTGAAGTAGCACCCAATCCAAGCCACGGCATGGATTCACCTGGCTTGTTAGCATCTCCATTTGTTACTTGATATGGTGCTTTGGAAGCAATTCTGTACAAACAACACAGGAAAACAATATTATCAACTGAACAAAAGCAAATAAATTAAAGAATAAAGGTTCTAATATTAATTTCTGCTTTGCAAATAGGAAAATCAATTTCAGAATTTCTATTAATATCTAAATAAATTAGACTTAGTTATCCTTTTGAGCCTATAATTTCATAAGCTTTATCTTTTAGTCCTTACAGTTAAAAACATTTCATTTTAATTATACGGACTAAAAAGGTAAGGTTCATGAAATTATAGAGACTCAAAATAATTAAACCAATTATTTATGAAGAAGCAAACATGAAAAACCAGATCTACAAACACCTCAATTATCAAGACACAATGAAAATCAAACTCACTAATTTATCATTATTGTTTCAATCAAAGGGTGATAGAAGATTTTGCTTTAGAAGTTATTTTTTTCGTCAAAACAAGGGAACATGAAGGATTTGTCACGTATACACACAACCACACTCACCAAGCAAATATTGTGTGTTTGGTTCAACTTATTTTAAAAGAAACAATTGTTTTCTCTTTCAAACACATGCTCCTAAAATATTCCTAAACCAAATTTGCACTTAATCTTTAAAAAAAATCTTTGTTTGGTTGAGAGTGTCTACCTGTCCTTTCTCTTCTCCAGAAACCGATGAAGTGAAGCTTTTCTAGCAATTGGCAGTTCTGTACAGAAAGGAAACTCGTGATCAGAAAAGAAAAAAAATGACCCCTAATAAAAAAACTAAAAATAAAACAAATCAATAATTTCAAAATATAAGAGATCTTAAGAAATTACCACAAACAACAGGTCTAGATGGTGCTTGAGGGTGTTCATGAATGTTGTTGGTAGCAGCAATGTTCACACTGGGAATAATTGGAGCACTTGAATCAGCACAAGTTCTGACTAGGGTAGGAGGAAATGAAGGCTGGCTCTGTGTGTAGGTGTAAACAGAATTGTTCTGGCTTTGGGGTACCCCTTTGCTGGCATAGGACATGATCTCACTTGCCTTGTCAGCAGGAAAATCATCAAACACAACTACTTGTCCACCATAAAAGATTGTCATCTGTGCACTCTTAGCCCCCTTGCCCATACATTTAATTGCACTGCACACCATGAAATAAATTGTCACATATTGGTATATACATAAAATTGCCATAAAAGAAAAGTTAGAGATTTAAATAAATCCAAAGCTCTTAATTAAATCAATTGGTATGCAGTCATGCTCATTAATTTTCTTCCATAGCAAGTTGGAACAAAAGGGTACTGTTAATTGACTTCACAACAAATTAAAGAGAAAAAAAAAAAAAAAATTAAACAACCCACCTGGAATTAACCAAGGTTGGAATCTCCTCCGCAGGACGAAAGGTTTGTGGAGAGAGTAAATCCATAGCTGTCAGGTTGTTTGGTGTCACGTTGTTTTCCTTGGTCGGAAACAAGTTCATGGTTGTAGCAGATTGACATGATGTCTCAGAAGACCCTGTAAAAATTTTCATATTTAGTTCTAAGGGGAACAAAATCTCCTCAAGATTAACCCCGTTTGGAAACTACCAACCATTAAAATCAACATTTTTCTTCCTATATCTCATATTTGCTTTTCCACTAAATTAGAGGGACAAAATTGGTGCATGTGTTAGATCTATGAAATTTGAAAACTCATTTAGTGCAACAAATCAGCAACAAGCAATTGATGAAATTGAAAAGGGCAGAAACCTGAGAATTCAAAAGAAGTTCAAGCCAAACAATGAAAAAAAAAAAAAAAAAGATTTTTTTTTTAATTCCTAATTAAGAAAGTAGGAAACTTTGAAAGACCCATAAACTGCTTCTCCTTCCTAGGATTTATTTATTTCAAAACGAACCAAGAGGAAAGGAATAACCAATTAAGTACCCAACAAGATTGAATCTTTCCCCCATCTCAGAAAACACACAACTAATTCCAAACTTCCCCCTTGCTACAATAAACACTTTCCACAAAACTAAGCAACAACCTTAAAAAAAAATTCAGAAAGTTTAAGGAAGCGTACCACATGGTTCGGGTTTGCATGTCATGCCAAGGGTAAGATCTCCAAAGCTACCCTTCTCTTTGATATATTGACTCAACAAACTGCACTTCTGAGAGAAAGTGGACTTCTCCGGCGACCTGGCCGGTTTGTTGCCGGAAAACTCAGAGTACTCCGATGAAGTGGACATGTTGAATTGATGAGAGAGAGAAAGCGCGTTGTTTGACAAAGAGGGTTCTATAACATAGGAAGGGACTCATACAATGTATGTATTGATGATCTTTGTCTCCGACCCTTTATCTTATATATAACCAATAATAACCAAACTTTAATGTCTGAATAAAATAACAATTTAATTTTGAATAAAGAGGTGGAAAATTGAAGCACGAGGAATATGTGGGGTTTTTCAAAAGTTGAGGTTAGAGTTCTTTTTTTTTTCTTTTCTTTTTCTTGCCACCCAAAGTCTACATCTTCCCACATTATTATCATCGCGAACACTATTTTTATTCACTTATTATATATTATTATGCTTTTATTTTACTCTTTAAACCACCACGTGTTCTTTGCGTTGCGTCAGTAAACCTAAACGGCAACGAAACGGAAACGGAAACGGAAATGGAAATGGTTTCGCTTTGTGAGTGCCGTAAATGCGCTCACGATTTTTGGTTTTTCACTTCACGTTTTACTCATTCAATTCAAGTTATTAAACAGTTCATACTTCATAACAAAGGTGATTAAATTTTTCCATAAATATCCCGTGTTTATATAATTATTATCTTACCTACATTAATTCATTTTCTTTACAAATACAATTAAATGCGTGTGCTCAAGGCAATTCCTTTTTTTCCCTCGTAGAATAGACATATTTCACGTTAGTAGTAAATAATGTAAAGTTATCAAGTTCATTTATTCGAGTATCGAAATGTAGATTTGATAATATCTCGTCTTAAATAATGAAAAAAAAAATTGGACGAATTTTTGTACTTTCCATTGTGTGTTTATCCAATTTAACGGAAAGTACTGTGGGCTTAAGAAAGTATGTTCTAGTATGCCTAAAAGTCTCACAACGCTTAGGAGTCGAGATTAAGAGTAGTTTATAAATATCCTTTATCCTTAATTCACCGAGATACCTTTTAAAAGGACAAAACTGTGACGGCCCAACGAGTACCAAAGCAGACAATACTTCGGACAGGCTGACCCTAATGATAACAGCGGACCTACGGTAGGAATATTTGGCGCTAGAAGGATATAGATAAAAAAAATCATAAAATTTCCATTAGAAAGATGATTTTAAACTACACACTAAATTTAGTAGTGTATTCACGCCACGCTTGTATTATAAGTTAGCATACACAACATCGATAACTCTCATTTGAATATTCTTAACATTTTTTTTTCTCTCTCTCTTATGTGTATTTTATACATTTAACAACTGATTAAAAATAAAAAAATCTTCTTAAACAACTTCCTCCTATAATTATTTATATTTTAATTCATCTATTGATCTCAAATTTAAATTTAAATATATATATTTTTACAACAATTATATAATTATTAAATATTTGAAAGAAAATATTATCGTTCATAATTGTTCTAATATGGAAATCGTCCCTAGAGAATCTTTAGCAAAACAATTACTAAGAAAATTTAGCAATTATCCTAACTTAGAACATTCAATAATTTTCAAATATGTCTCATACTCTAATCTCCTATCTCTATATATATCATTCCTAAACCATATGTAACGTAGTTAGTAGACTGGAACGGGACGTTCCCAGATTGGAACGGGTCGTTCCAAACTACTAAAACAAGGGTGATTTAGTAGCCCAAAACGGGTCGTTCACAAACTGGAACGGGTTGTTTCAAACTACTAAATAGGCCTATGAATCTTGGACTGGAACGGGTCGTTCCAAAATGGTCATTGTGAGTTAAATTCAACTCTAGAACGGGTCATTATGGTTTTAGAACGGGCCATTTTAGACGTGCTAGAACGGGCCGTTCTGATTTCAGAACGGGCCGTTCTGCATGTGAATTTTACACATGATGAAGAAGCCCAGAACGTGCCGTTCTGGATCTGGAACGGGCCATTCTGGCCAGTTCAGACTTCTATAAATAGAGGTTGCGCAGTTGAGGAGAATGAGAGGCTTTTAGAGAGAAGTTTTAGAGAGAAAAACTCTGGACTAGGAAGCTTGCTTTGGGTGGATTGAAGTTCCGAGTTGAGCTTCGGAAAGAAAATTCTACTTCTTCTCAGTTCTTGGCTATTTTGAGTCAATCTTCAGGTAAGGGAAGCTAGATTGTATGTTGTTTGGTTGTATGTGAGTTTAGGAACTCATATGAAGTTGTATAATTACATTGATATGTATGATGAGTAGAAAGTGAAATGGAGAGATGCATGTTGAGTATAGTGTTGTAAACTAAATGAGTAGTTGTGCAAAATAGAAAATGTGTTGAATACATGATATGTTGCTAAAGTTGCTATATTTATGTGTGGATTATTTATATGTTGTAAAATATGATGAAATGATAATGTTGTGAGTTGTGAGAAACATGATGTGAAATGTGTAGACGTGTTGAGATTTATACAAAATTTATTAGTAGACCATGTTGTTAAGTTGTTAGAGAAGAGTTGTATGTTGCTATAAAGTTGTATGTTGTGCCATGTGTTGAAAAGATATTATTTTATGATGATTGAGTTGTAAATTATGAGTTGAGCTAATAAGCTGTTGATTTGATTGTGTTATTTAAAGTTGAAATGAGATGTTGTGTTGTTAAAATGTGTTGTTAAACAACATTGATGAGTTGTTATTTTGATGTACCATGTTGTTTAAGTTGAAAGTTGATTGAGATGATGAGTTGAAAGTTGTGTGTTGTTTAAGTTGTTAGGCTGAGTTGTGTTGTTGAGTTGTAAGCTGATTCAGTTGTGATGATAAGTTGTTGATCACTAGGACTAGAGGAGATGTTTTCAAAGTTGCTCATCCCATTGTACGAATTGAGATAATTGGGGTGCTCTGCGAGCCCAATTTGTTAAAAACCCTCCTTAGGAAGTTGTCCCTTGGAGTGGACGTTGTGTTGTTCTCCTCTAGGACTTAGCTGGTCCCGTGTGTGGGCAAGGTCGAGGCGCACGTATACAAAGTGACCACGGTATAGGGGCAAGGTCGAGTTATACCGATTATAAAGCAACTACGGTATAGGGGCAAGGTCGAGCTATACCAATTATAAAGCGACCAATTTGAGTATAGTACGAAGTCTGGAACTTAGTTCCTAACCGAGTACTATACTTCCTTGTTTAAGTGGCAAAGTTTGAGAAATTGTTATCGTGTTGTGAATTTCTATCCAAATTTGTTGTTTACCTAGCAAGCCCAAAAAGGTTCTATTTTGTCGGTTCGGTAGAACCTAGCCACTTAGACTACTTATCACGTTGTAGGAGATCTCTGAGTTGAAATGCGTGACGACGCATAAGTTGTTGATGAGTTGATTTGTTGTTGATAAGAGTTGTATCTATGTTGTTGTGTTGTTAAGCTTGATTGTGTTGTATGTTGATCCTGTTGAGGATGATGATAGTGTTGTTATGTTGTAAGTTGCTTAATTGTATACAAGTTGATGATGATGCTAATGTCGCTAGATTACCTGTGTTGTAAGTTGTTTTAAACATGTGTTGTTGAGAGGTGTGTAACACATGTGTTGGTTATTGTTATGATGAATATGATAACTATTCCAATGGTTTGTACAATAGTTGCGTTGAAGTGTTGATACAGCGTTGATATGTGGAATCAAGTTGAAATGATGTTAAGATGTATAATATATGTGTTGTTTATCTTTTGTGTCGGATGTGAAGATGATTATATAGTTGTTTTTCATATTTGATATTTATGAGTTGTTTATTGTCTCTAGCTTACCCTTGCATGTTTCCATGTAGTTTGGACTGCGATGATCATACGTTGTATGGGAGCAGGGCATGGATAGGCTGGGAGATAGCTGCTAGAGGCCACAGGATGTGCCTGTAGATGGATATCTTTTTTTGTAGGCTATCTTATAGTGGCATACTTTGTTGTATATAACTGATTGTTGTTGGTTGCTTGATTAGCAACTTGTGTTGTAAATATTTTATCATACTATTTTAGTATATATATTCCAGTAGTGTGTAGTGTTGTTTCGTAGTGTAACGGCCACGGCGGGTCGTTACACCCTAAACTAGAAGATCTTATCTTCTTTCCCTAATAAGCAAGTGATCTTATCTTCTCTTACGATTTGAGGATCTTCATCCTTATTTTTATGAAGCGCGTTTGTAGTTGTTAGTAAGAAATCCCATGATATGGGACACCTTTTCTGTACATTAATGACATGTCTTTCTGTTACTAGATCACCTTTGACTTGTATGAGTGTTGACTATTATAGTAGAAAATTAAATGATTGTGAGAACGCTCAGTCATGTAATGAACATGGAATACCTTGTTTGATTAAGTATATAAAGGCTTCATAAATAAGAATCGGATAATGAATGATGATAATATCTATCAATCTGTTTATAGTGGAATTCGTTTATGGATTCTTTTTATTCGAACTAGCATGAATGGCGTTTCAAGTTAGGTATTTTGAAGAATAAGAGATGAAGTAGAAAGATTTACAAATTACTTATTTCTAAGTATTCATCAATGATTAACAAGCAACAACATTCGTTCACATAAATCCTTATATAAACAGAATGAACAATAGACACATTAGCAATACAAATCATGGTCCACTTTGTTTTACTAATCAAATTACAATAAGAAGTTGAAACATATTGATCAAAGTACGCAATTACGTTACGTGAATAAAAGAAGAACAAGAAAACTATACTAAACCTACTCCTAAAAAGAGAAAAGAAATGTGGCCGAGAAATGATCATACCTATAAGCCATTCTTTGCACGAAAGTCATATGCACAGGCAGTGAGTTCTTGAGAGTTTCAAGTATGAAGTTTCCGACCCTCTGTATGGGGTATGGTTCTCGTATTTATAAACTCTCCTCGAGGGTGGTTACTCCTGCGAAAATCTATCATGGGCGCATAACTGCCATCCACTACGTCCTTTACGTGGGTTTAAAATATAACTTCTCGTAACCGTTCGTCACTACGTCCTTTTCGTGGGTTTGGAATATAACTTCTCGTAACCATTCGCCCCACGTGTTTTTATCTCTTCGATCTATTTTAACCAAACACTACTTGAAAACCTCTAGTAGCCTCTTTTTTTCATTTTTCGAGCATCTCTTTATTTCAACTCAACCAGTTTCTATTCGACCATGTCTCGGATACAAACAAA